AACAATCTGAAAATATGAATATATAAGCTGAATACTTTTTCTATGTGACTGTTTTCCTTGTCATTTGACACATGCAAAATTTAACTATTTTTTTAATTGTAATTACATATTGAATCATTTCCTTATTTTAGCTTTTGCTTGTGTACTTCCATACGGGGGGAAAAAAATCAGCTTTATAATGTACATTGTCTCCTTGTACACTGTTGCATTTTTACATTCATTCTTTGCAATGGTATTTTTAGAAATTCAACATTCGTTTGAGTTTTTTATGCAGTTCCAAGTATTTCTTTTATCAGCATCATTCTAAGTTTTATTTTTGGGGACACTGAGAATTGAATCTAGGATTTTGCACATGTTAAGCATACACTCTATTCATGAAATACACCCTTTATGTGGTCCTGGGAACTAAACCAGGCTTCACATACTCCTTATTTTAAAATAAATATTTACCACTACAACTCTCCCTTTATTCTTCTTCACAAACATTTTTAGGTCTTATAAAAATGAAATTCATAATCACTTACTGTGAAAAATCCCTACAGAAAATTTTAATTTGCATCATATTAACTCATAAATAAATATAAATAGATTAACAATTATTTTTCTAGTCAGAAATGCTCTTTTAATCCTTAGAGTAGTAGTCTGTTTCCTTCCCATAGGTCATTTGCATCTCTTGTGCATGCAAAGCTTAATTTTTAGCATATTTTCTTTTGCCATATCAAGAGACTTTTTCTCATATTTTCAAATTGATTATATATCAACATTATTTTTCAAATTGATTATTTTCAAACTGACTATCATATTTTCAAATTGATTATATATCAAAATCATTTTTATATTACAATAAAAACTTACTAAACTTTTAGTTTCAGTTGACTGTCTTGGACATTTTTATCTGGAAATAACTTTATTTTCCTCTCCCACAGTTCGTTCATCCGGTTTCTTCTCTTACTGTGCTGGCTGGGCACTCTTAGAGCGGTGTCAGCATGGATGGTGCTAACGCTGACGGGGATACAATTTAACATTCACCACTATTAGTATTTCAGCTATACACAGCTTAACCTCAACTTTGCTCATAAAATTATAGATACTTCCCATAAAATACTAACAGTGAAATATCTGTAAAACAGTGCGATAATAGGTCATTTCATTTTCTCCATAAACAATTTGTACATTTTTAATTTAACCATCCTGGCCATGAACTTTTCCAATTTAATTTCCAAACTTTCTGAAGTGAATGGACACATATGTACACATGGATTTATGCATATTTTTGTCTCTCCCTCCTTCTCATTTTTTCTAATGTTCCTTAAGGAAAGTGTTTTAAAATCCAAATAATCTTGGTTAGCAATTAAGAAGGCAAGAGAGAAGTAAATTCTAAGGAAAAGTTTTTTCTTTAGAAACAACATCCTACTTTGTAAGGATGCCTAAAAATAGTATCTTGATACAGTTTTTCATTTTTATAGTGTACCTCATCTTTTATCAAAACATATTTGCTGAGACTGAACTCCATGACATAAAAATATGAACAAGCTGACATTAAGAAAGTAGTAATATTCCTAAATCAGTGCTCCAGGAAAATCAGATTTTAATACTCTTAATAGCAGTACTGCATGTCAACCAGCATATTCAGCAATTCTGTCAATTCTTATAAAATACTGCTTCTTTCATATTTCATTAAGTAACCATGACACTGAACCTATGTCAAAATCTGAAACACTGTGGGACACATTATCAGAAAATGTCCATGTTAAACATAGACAACTAAGCTTTGCAGTTTTAGTCTACCCAAGAAGTTCCAAATTGCTAAAACAGGCAAATTGCTACCCATGTTCTAAAAATAGAAATATAATAATTAGGTCACAATGGATAGCTCCTTTCTTGGTCAAAAAAGGAAGAAAGAAAAAAGAAAGAAAGAAAGGATGATGAATGCAATTGGAATGTTTATTGTTGCTGGAATTCTTTAGGCCTGGATTCAAGTAAGTGTCTTGATGCAAGTTACTATGACAACTTAAATAACAGAAAATGCACCCCCACCTTCTACTAAGTTGTTTTCTTGGGTAAACCATTTCAAGCCTTCTAAGATCTGTGTGCACAAATTATCTGCAACAACAAGAAACATCTTACAAGCTTTATTCAGAAATATCCTCTTCTAAACCCTTAAAACCAAGTATAAGCATAAAATAAGTATTTTCCATTAAATCATGAGAATGAAAGCACACACACACACACACACAAGATTAAATATGCAATACTTAGGAGTGTTCCAAAACTGCTTCTCATTACCAGAAGTATAGTATATTGCCACCATATGCCTCATTCCAGAAACTATGTGAAATTACTTGCAGGGCAGTTTTGAAAGCAGATTATGGAGCTAAGTCCTGTTTATCATTATCTCCCCCTCAGTAATGCTTTTTGTAGAAAGTTATCAGAAAAGGGGCTGCGAGAAGACTGTAACCTTATTGTGAACACAAGGAAAAGCAAACAATCTGTAAAAGGTATTCTGTTGTGCCAAATGTCTTTTCACACAAAATATAAACTTTAAAATTTGTTTTCACAGTTTCAAATTTATAAACCTCACAAAGGTGCCTTGTGATAGAGTGCAAATTATCTTCTATCATTTTCTCTAAGAAAAATGCACTCAAGAAAAATTGCATCTTCATGGAGAAAATGTGATGAAGCAGAGATCTTGTGATTGCTGGACATTAAAAATTTAGAGCAGCTCCATGGAAAAAAAATGACAGACAATTTTTCAGTGTAGCAATGGTGAGACTTCAAAGCTGATTTTGTGACCCGTCAAAATTAACCTTACAGTATTGAAAGTAGAGGTTTCATGAGAGAGGCTTAGGGAAGTCACCTTCTCTGTAGGTTAAACAGGATTATTACCTCAGATTCCAGTAGAGCTTTGGAAGTTTTTATGTATATCTAAACCCTAGCCCTGGGCAGACTCTTGATTTATATAAAATATGGTTTCTCAGGGCTGGGGATTTAGCTCAGCGGCATAAGTACCTGCCTTGCAAGCAGGCGGTCGTGAGTTAGATCCCCGGTACCGGGGGGGGGGGGGGGGGGGGGGGAGAAAAAAATATGGTTTCTTTTATATGAGAAACCCAAATTATAGATAAAGAACAAAATAAAAGATAATAGAAACAGGGAGTTAGATCCTCCTCAGATAGGAAGGGGATCAAGAGATGGTGGAGTCAGGAGAGGAAAAGGATGAAAAAAGGAACCAAGGTAAGCTATGGACATGTACCAACTCCACACAAAGAATGTAAACATTACAGACTGCAAACATGGACTAAAACACACAGAAGTTCATCTGAAAAAGACAACTCAGCACGATAAAATAGTTTCTGCACCATGAAAGTCAAACGTCAAAGGCTGCTAAACTTGGGCATAATAAGCATTTGAGAAGAAACAGCAAAAATAGGATCTCTTTATCAGCAAACTCCAACCAGCTCACACAATCCCTATCTATCTAACTTTAAGTGACCCAGAGAAATCAAGTAATTGAAATGTTCCAACTCAAACCATAGTATCCCTAAATAACAAGCCTAAACCACAGTTCCTCGTGATATGACTCACACATAAATCTTCCTAAGTAGAAAATAAGCTACATATTTTTAAAAAAACTTCATAGCATAGCTTCATGCTAATGGAAGCTAAAATTTAAGTGACTGTCCAAACACAGAACCTTAGTTAAACTAGCACATTTTTTTGTTTTTCTTTTCAAATCATATTACAAGTAACAGCACATTACGAACAGGGATTGAGGGACTGGAGATTTAGCTCAGTGGCATAAGCACCTGCCTGGCAAGTGTGAGGTCCTGAGTTTGATCCCCAGTACCAAAAAAAAAAAAAAAAAAAAAGAACAGGGTTTGAATATATCTTTAGCTCTTACACAGATGTAACAAAATTGCCTGATTAGAGCCATCACCTTTCGCTCTCAATACTTATGATCTTGTAGTTACAATTTTTGCTAAGGGCACAAACAATGTCCAGCAGGGTCTACATTAAGAACAAAACCACTGAGGATATGGATTTACGGGTGTAGGAGCTCCATCCCCCCAATATAATCTAATTTGAAGGTTCTAATGTTATGCTTTATTCTTCAGAGGAAGATTAATTTATGTGAGAATTTTGAGAGTCACCTAGTAAAAAACACAAGCACATAACTTTTGCAAATGAGGGACTAAGGAATTTATGAGACAGCATACTGATTGGTGCCCTTAAGGAGTTTATTCACCTGTAAAATGTGAATAGTTTCTTCATAAGTAATTCATTTACTACATACAAGGTCAAATTACTCTTTATTTTGGGACCAATAAGTCACTTAAATATTCAAGAGACAAAAGATAACATGCAAGCAAACATACTAAAACCAAGTGAAACATAACTTAATCATGTATTTTCATTTAATTTAATTGGCTGAATTTAATTCAATTAAATGAATTTTTTGCTCACTTTTACTTAAGGAAGTCAAGGATAGAAATTACTGAAGAGATGGAAGCTGAAATCATACGACATTCCAGACTTACCCCAGACCATCGCAAAGAACTGTCAGAAAGTTTGGTTAACCATCAAAGACTTTATAAACTTTCTCTGTTTGAAAGACTTGTCTGCCTTAAAAGAGATCCCGACTTTAGAAGAGAAAGCCACACACCAATTCAAAGCATCAGTATGGTGCTCTTCCAGAAAATCCAAGAGCAGTAACGCACTACTCTGAAAACATCTGCTTCAGGCTCCAAATTTGAATCCTAGGCATATTTTAAGATGCTTTAGTGTCAACACAGATTTAGATCTAGGAATTCTATAACAGTGGCAAAATGTTATCACTAGCTTTACTTATCTAGATAAAAACATCTTAAATGATTCTTGGGTTCACTAGTAAATATACCTATAAATGTCTCTCCAAATTCCGGAAGTCTTTTTAGTTACTTAGAGTAACACATATTAACTACACCTGCGGGATGCAGGTCAGGAGCGCAGGTTTTCTCACTCACCTCAGCACGCGGGACTCTCCAAGTCAGGGCCAGTATGATGTCGTCCCAGGGACCAGCACAGCACCCTGCTAGGAGGATCCACGCAGGTACCTGCAAAGGCACACAATGTTCTTACAATCCCAGCTAACTTCTATCTTAGGAATGCTAAATTATTCAACTTAAACGTAATAGTTTTCAAAGAGCAAGCAAATTCACCAGCTTGGAGTATGGGTTTTGCAAAAAGTAATTCCCCCCTCCACCCTCTTTTAGGTCATTTGAGTTGCAATACTTGTAGGGTGAGTTTGTTTTCTGTTTGGTTTCGATTAGCATTTATGTGTTTTTGAAAAAGGAATTTCAGTTTTTTTGTTTTTTTTTTTAAGGGCATCTGATGAGACTTTCATGTTCTAGGAAGGCTTTTCTTGCCTTCTTTTTCTATTGAGTAAAGCTCCCTGAAATACCACCATAATTTCTTGAAAGCAGTTAGCAGTTAGACATTTGGAAAATTGCCTAAAGCCAGGGCTAAAAATGAAGTTGAATGAGAGATCTCAGGTTTTCAGTCCTGAAAAATAACAGAAACACACCACATTTTTCCTAGGTTAGTACAAATTACCACTGACTGGCTAGGAAAGAGGGCGACGCAGTACCATTTCTTTTGACCGCTTTATTGCCCAGTGCCGTGAGAATGTGAAGCTCTGCCACATTATCGTAAGAAAAGCCTAGGGAAGAAATCTTGGCCACAAGACGAAAATTGATGCAATTCATATGTCTGCCACATTCAGACCCTGCCCTTCACAGATGTTTCTGCATTTATTTATAGAAAAGTTTACTTTAGTAACAAGACTAGCTTCTGTCAAGCACTTTTTAAAATATATCCAGACACTGATTTATTTTATTATGAATAAAAAAAGTCACTCAAAAATGTTGCAGTTCTTAAATTTTTAGTCATGAAATATCAAATTAGAAATTGCACAAGAAAAGAAAAAACAAGGTAGACCACCCGCCCAGCCTGATGAAATGGAAGAAAATAAATATGTTTCAAATACAATTTAGGAAGGGGGAACGGTCCACGGCTTGCCCTTGCACAGTGGATTTCTCCCCACACAGAGGCTGTGTCCTGAATGGAGACATTGTCTTCAACTCCAGTTACTAGACTGACTAGCCTAACACTTCATATAATTTAATATTGCTTACAAAATTGCCAATGGCTTCCTTTTTTTTTTTTTTTTTCTCCATAGAGTTACAGTTGCAAAAGTGTCTGCTTCCAAACACAAGGAAAAAAAGAGTAGGGTGGTCACATTTGAAAATAATGAAATAAACAGGCTTTAAGTCAACTAGGTATCACAGAATTTGTTTTATCCTATTATACCAGATGTTGAGGGAGAGCTTCTGGCTTTAACTAGATCTATCCACCTCCTAAAGAAACTGGAAGACATTCACACATTGGACTTTGAAGGGACTTGGCAAAAGAGCATGTCAAATAAAAGTGACATCCAAACAGCAAAGGAGGGTCACTGCTGCTATAGAAGACTCAGGGCCAATTGAGAGGAGGCCGCCTAGACTTAACCACACTAACTCGCATTCTTGGGCCTGGTGGGCAAAATACTCTTAAAGACCTAAGTCAAAATATCTTCCTATTCATCTTCTTTTCTTTAAACACTCATCTCTCTTTCTGAGTTGTTTTCGAGGAAACTTTTGGAAATGAAAAGTGAGCAGTTGAGAGGGAGTATCTAAATTAACATAATCTTTATTGTCTTTTGTTTGCAAAATAAGATTATTAATACAGCCAGACATTAAAGGCCAAGAGGATTATGATGCATATTTCCTCATATACAATCCAACACGTACTTGTTTTCACATATGCTGAGATTAAAATCTCTCCTTTTTAGATTTTCATTACAAAAGTCTGAACAGGTCAAGGCTCTTTGAAGTAGATTAGGATACTCCAGTTCTGCAGGGCCCTGGAATGTGCTTTAGGGATGCCCCTTGGAAGTTCCAAGTAAGTTCTTGGGTTCTTAACTACCCATCCCCTCCTCCCAGTTCCTAAGGCATCATTTTTCGTCTTGATTATTACACCTGCTCTAACTTACTCAATGCACTATACCCCCTTTTGCCAGGTCACTTCACAGAAACAAACCAAAGAGATCAAATCCTGTCACATTTGACTGCTTTGGAAAGCCTTCCAAAGTAAGCCCAAACTTTTGTTTTCCATAACTGCTTTTGTAAACCATAACTACAAAATACAAATAAAAGATCTAACAATTTTAAGAGTTCTTAAAGAAGGCTAGAATAAGATACCTGAAATTTAAGTGGGAATGATCTCAGAAAACATGATGTAAAGGATGCTCTGTTTGAGACCTCTGGCGCCTTCTCAGGCCACCATCTCCAGCTGGTCTCCTGAAGCCACCACTTGGCACACCCGAGCCTCCTGTCTGCTCACTTTCCCAGCCCCAAGCTGCTTTTCAGGTTGGCACCCCATACCCAGGACCAACAACTCTCTGTACTGGCCAAACTCTAAGTCACTCTCCAAGAGAGACCTGACATTTCTTCTTACCATGCACCATGCCCTGGAACTTTTGCTCACAGGAATTAGTCTCAAGGGGCCAACACTTAGTACCTGCTGGCACTATTTACTGAATCCTCCCAACAATCCACTGGGGTATGTAAGCTGTAGAGAGGGACTCATCAGCAGAGTTCTTCAGTTTTAAAGAACAGAAAGGATACCAATAATTAAGAGGGGAGCCAGAAGTTAAAGTCAAATAAATTAATGTCTGAGCCCATGATTCCAACAGCTGTAGTTGTGTAATAATACTCAGTACAAATTATAATTAAATAGTTGCCTCTTCTTGATGACAGAGACACTCTGCACTAATATTTGCATTCATAATATTTCACATATGAGTTGTCCAAGAAATGTTCAATGAACTTGAGGGTTCTACAGAATGACAGAGGACTGATCAGTAGTGCTGAGGTTATCTCAGCACAAGCCTCTATAATTAATCCTTTTTACTAAGAAGTAATTCTGACCATGTATCTGAAAAAGACGTATGTGTTATACAAATAAAAACTGAAGCAAACCAATAATCAATGTGTAATTTGGAGCAAAGGAAGAAACCTGGGAAACTTTAATAACTGTATTACTTTTAGGAAAGTTTAAGGATATCTGAACATTAACTGGATACTTACAAAAAATATCGAAGATTAAATGTTCTCCTATTTCAGTAGCCTGATAGCTCTAAGATAGTTCCCCAAAGTCCATGTCTTGTGGTATCTATACTCTTCTGTATCCTCCCACAATGAGAAGAGTTTACTTATATAGCTAGTAGGATATTGTGGAAATGTTTGAGAAGACATGGTGACTTCCATCTTGTTCTCTCATTACATGCCGTAAGGTAAGCCAGCCAACAAGTTGGCCAGAAAGAAGTTCAAGCAGCCTTATGGAATGGTCTACATGGTGCCTTAGCTATTGTTCTCATTGCTGATATAAAATATTGATACCATTAAAGGGGAAAAGGTTTATTTAGCTCATGGTTTGTAGAAATTTCAGCCCATAACCAGCTTCCAAGACAGGGTGGCACTGCAGACAGGCATTGCAGAGGAGAAACAGTTCATGGTGGGCAGAAGGTAGCAAAAGCAAGAAGACCACAGCTCTTTGTATGCCTTACATCTTATCCAGGCTACTCAGGGCAAGTGCCTTTGATTCTAACACTGCCCTATGAATGAACTTCTGTACCACACACTCTAGATCCAGCACCCTTGGAAATAGCCCTGTCTATGACCACATGAAGCTTTGGGGGGACATCTAGACACCAGCCATAACATATGGTGAGAATCTGAGGCCTCCTACCACACCGGCACAAATTTACCACACAGCTGAGTGAACCCCCTTCAAAGTGGATGTTCCAATTTCAGCGAATGAACTATATACAACCTGGTATAAGTGACACTTGGACCTAATCCTTACAAAAGATCCTGAGCCAGAATCATACATCTAGGCCATCCCTGGATTCCTGAAAGAAACTAGTCAAGATTTTAAAAGTTACCATTTTAAGACCCTAGGTTTGGTGCAACTTGTTACTTGGCAATATATAATTAAAATACCTATTATCACCCACACAACCCACACAATTTAAGTAATTCATAAGAATGCTAACAGGAGTACTGATGTTAATTAATACAATGTTGGGGTACTGCAATTCCTAAACAAAAAACACAAACAAAACAGAATGTTGAACAGTTCAAAAGCAAAATACTATAAACTCCAAGGAATTCCACCTTTTTTGTTTTCTATTTTCACAAAAGAGATAAAGGACACAAGCTTCATTTCCTGACAGATGTCTTCTAATTACTGCTAGTTAACTGCTGGGTCTGTTCCCTTACTCCAAAGTAGGCTCACCAGGAGAGACAAGGGATGAACGAAAGTGGGATTTCTATTACTAGAGAAATGAGCCAAGTTTCTTCCTCTGGTTGTTCAAGTATTCTAGGTCAGATATGAAAGGTTTAGAGAAAACCAGCTATTCACTATCCTGTTATACTCCAAATGACTGAAAAGTTTAAAATTAAAAAAACAAGCATGCTTCTTTCTATTGGAAAGAGAATACATCTGAATTTTTAAATATCTGAGTACAGAGAAATTTAATAGTTCATTTTCATAAATGATACATTTTTGCTTCTACAAAATAAATTAAAGCGATAAATATTATACAAGACTGAAATACTCTTAAATGTTTGGTTTTTCTAACAGAGAAAAGGGTGGAGAACCCTCAGGTGCTTTTTTTTGTTTTGTTTTCTTGACCCCAAAACTTACACAGTTTCAAAATATAATGTCATTCTCCTAAAATCAATACGGAATGTTAGCAAGAAAGGTTTCTAAGGTTTTATACACTCCACATAAAATGTTAAAACAATAAAATGATTCTGAAATAAGGAAAACTTTTCATGAAAATAAATCCACTGTGATGCTATATAATGCACTATTTGCAAAGCAGAAAGCAATAACAAAAATTAATTACACAATAAACATTTGCCAAGCCCATATATTTCTATTTTTAATTTGTTTTTATTTATTGGCACATGTTAGTAGTACATAAGGTCTACCTTCTTTGTGTGGAGTT